CTCAAGATCTCTGAATGGAATACCGCTATCCAAGAAGAAATTATAGCCCTTGAGAAAAATGGAACATGAGAGTTATCTGATTTACCTTCAGAAAAGACTCTAGTAGCATGTAAGTGGATTTTCACCACTAAGTACAATCCTTATGGTAGTGTAAGCTGTTACAAAACTCGACTTGTTGCTAAAGGGTTTACTCAATTTTATGGAATCGATTATCAATAGACATTTGTTCCTATAGCCAAGCACAACACAATTCGGGTATTATTCTCTTTAGCCTCTAATCTTGATTGATTTCTCTTCCAACTTGATGTGAAAAATATTTTCCTTAATGTGATCTAGAGGATGAAGTGTATATGGAAATCCCACCTGTACTCAAGATGAATCCTCAAAAGGAATGCAAACTTAAAAAAGCACTGTATAGTTTCAAACAGTCTCCAAGGGCGTGGTTTGAAAGATTCACCAGGGCAGTGAAACATATGAGATATGAACATTGTTAATCCGATTACACTCTATTTGTCAAGCATTATATCACATGAAAGAGAACTATACTAATTGTTTATGTGGATGATATTATCCTAACAGATGATCATAATGAAAAGATTCAGAAATTGAAAAATTTTCTAGTTAGAGAATTTGAAATAAAAAATCTTGGGATACTCAAATATTTTCTTGAAATATAAATTCAAGAATGGAATTTCTATATCTCAACGGAAGTACATCTTAGATCTCTTGAATGAGACAGGTATCTTTGGTTGTAAACCTGCAAAGATTCCTATGAAAATAAATGTTAAACTTGGTTACAAAAGTGACAGTAAACCTGTTGATAAAGAAAGGTATTAAAGACTTGTAGGCAAACTTATTTATTTGGCTCACACAAGACCTGACATCTGTTTACTGTTAGTACTGTGAGTCAGTTCATGTCTCAACCTACTGAGGAACACATGAGTGTTGTTTATCGTATTCTGAGATATCTAAAGATGACATCTGGACAAAAATTATTCTTTTAAAAGATTATGGTTAGAGATATTGAGATCTATACTGATGTTAATTGGGCTAGATCTGTGACAGATAAGAGATCCACATCTGATTATTACTCATATATTTGAAATAATTTAGGCACTTAGCATAACGAAAAACAATCTATTGTATCAAGAATCACCACTGAACCTGAATTATGATCAGTTGCACGTGAAATATGTGAAATAGTATGGCTTAAAAAGATTCTATTTGAACTGAGATTTTCTGCTCCCACTGCAATGAGGATTTGGTGTGACAATCAATCAACTATTAACATGGTCAAGAATCCTGTGCACCATGACATAACTAAACATGTTAAAATTGATCGTCACTTCATTAGAAAGAAAATTGAAAGTTAGGATGTGTCACTCCTATACATCTCGACAAATCAACAAACAGCAGACATACTCACTAAAGCACTACCAAAAAGGGAGTTCAATAATCTTGTATCCAATCTAAAGTTACTTAACATCTATGTAACCTAAATTGAGGGGGAGTGTAGAATGTACATATGTAGGAAATGTACATATATACATGTATACTTACACTAGGGGCAACTTAGTCTTTTCTCATATTGTTAGGACAGCTGATATTGTTAGGACAATTGGGTATTTCTCTCCACCATTTTTAGCTATTTTGTTAGCATCTTTTTAACGGTTTTTGTTATGGCCGATGGCCTATATAATGGCACATTTGTGCCCATGTAAACACAAGGAAAATTAAAGGAATTCTCCTCTTCTCACAAATCTTCTTTCTTTATTTTCTTCATTCTCCATTTTTCCAACCGAAACGCCTCTAATCAGTTGACAGTCTCTTGTCCTGCGTAGTAGACCATTGAAAGCCTCCATAACCATGATAAAGAGGAGAGGGGATAATGGATCGCCTTGTCTTAATCCTCTTTAAGCAATAAAAAATTTTGGAGGGCCCCCATCAACTAAAACATCAAATGATGTGGTAGTAATGCAAGTCTTCATCCATGTTCTCCATTTGAACCCAAAGTCCATTCTAAAAAGCATATAATCAACAAAATTTCAATTAACGTAGTCATAGGTTTTTTTCATGTCAAGTTTGCACACCAACCCATCCTTGCTATTCATTAAGTCATCAACCGTTTCGTTAACAACCAATACAGCATCAAGAATCTGCCTACTACCCACAATGTCTCTAAACATTTTCTCATCCTTCAAGAAAGAAGCCAGCTGTAATTTCAGATTACCCCTCTTGTTCCTTTCTTCCACATCTAACCCAAATTCATCCTCTTTGGCATCCAGAGAGCTAAATCTCAGACATAACAGCGTCATACCCACTATTCTCCTTCATCTTCTCCTCTTTAGCCCAAACTTTAATAGCATTCTTCAAGACCTTAAGTCTGTGAGCAAATTTGAAATTGGAACATCCCTGAATCCCACTATTCCTCCAAGAGTCTTTCACCCAGTACACAGAAATTCTCATTGCTCAGCCATTTATGCTCCAGTCGGAAAGGTATAGGTCCCCACTGTATTTCCTCGACCTCCAAACATGTAGGATAACGATCAGGATAACGATCAGAGGTGGGACGGGGAAGAGTTTTATGGCACACACTCACCAAATTCAGCAAGAAATTAGAGGAGATAAAAAATTTATCAATTCTGGATCAGCTATTTTGATTGGACTAGGTCCATTGTCCTTTAGATAGCGGTAAATTTACAACCCCCCAACCTCTCCATAGCTTCTCTAAATTCATAAGCTTCTGTCAATGAAAAATTGTTGTCACTTCTTTCCTCCCTTCTCAGTATCATGTTGAAATCTCCCCCAGTAATCTACTTGCCACCTCATTTGGTTCTACAAACCTCCAATTCTTCCCATAATTTTGTTTTCTCCACTCAGTTTTCTCTACAACAAACCCTTATGAACATCCATTCAACATCTTCCCAACAATTCCTAAGAACACACAACAAGGTGCATTCACTTTTAATCACATCCACACAATTCACCCAGTCCTTCCTCCAAAGTATGATCATCCCTTCGGCCGGTCCTTTAGCAGGCAAAGCATGCCAATCACTACTATTTTTACATCACAAGCTGTTGATCATTTCAAGGGAGTAATCATCCACTTTCGTTTCTTGCAGACATATAATGAAAGGCTTCCATTTTTTCAAACAGCCTCTGATAATTAATCTTTTACCCCTACAGTTTATCCCACGGACATTTCAGGATACACTCTTTCCTATCATTCACAGGCCATCTTAACCCTGCTAGCTGACTTTCTATTTTCTCTTCTGCCTTCATAGTTTATGGAAGATTCTAATCTTTTTAACTCCCTAGGAGTACCACAACTTATTTTCTTTTTCTCCTTTAGTGCATGCCCAGTTTTTTTTTTTAACAGCTTCCTTTTTTCAACTTCAGAGAAAAAGAAATAAGACAAGTTCTCCATACCTTCTAGTGAAACATCCATCGTCTTGTCGAATTTATTTGTGTTGTTGATCACCCACTAGGAGCAGTAATCCTCCACATGCGCAGAAATGTTAACTCCCTCCAGACTCATCTGAATTAACTCTTCGATCTCCAGATCATAAGCTGAGTCAAGTGGCATAGCGTCTTCCTCGACCACCACTAATTCATGATTCAGACTCAGGTTCTCCTCACCTGGGCATTCGACCATTACCTTCCCTTCAACTTCGAAATCCTCCATTGTGGAGAAAACAGAGCACATATCTTCTTCTTCTCGTTCTCTTGTTGCCAAGAGCTCAACAACGACATCCATACCCGTTACTTCCTCAGCTTTTCCTTCGACATCAAACCTTAACTGTTCCTTTTCTTTTTTTTCTTTTTCTTTGTTCTCCCCCAGACACTCGGGCATAAATATCTCCACATATTTTGTACATGATGGCTCACCCCGGGTCGGGTAATAAAGCAGGCTTGGGCTCGGATTGTTATCAATGCTTCTAGTATTATCTGTCTTCATTTTTTATTTCTCCTTTTCTCTCCAGGTATAGCGTTTCTTTTCACCTGGCTCGTTTTTTTTTGTGATTTTGGATCTGGCCCAAAGAAACCAAAGTCTTGTCACCCTTAAATCCAAAACGACAGGATCGTTTGGCATTTTGAGAATACCCCTTACCTGATCTATTATGTTTCCTTGGGCCAACCCGCTTCGATTCACCATCGGGTTTCCTCTGCCCTACCCACATCACTTTGCCCTCAACAGCTTGCAACGCCACCGCATAAGTATGGACACGATTGAATTCCATTGAAACGTTGATCGGAATGTTACAATATGGGCACTGAAATGAGGCTTTCCAAGGACATTTCTTCTTAATCACTTTCTCCTTTGATTGATCCACTTTATCCCTTTTACCCTCGACCACACTCTGAGGTCTTTTGACAGGTCTATCCACAAGTTCAAATGCTGCCACCATCAACTTCCACCATGCTCTCCCCTACATTCCCCCCGGAAAGAAGATTCTCTTTGCTCGTCGATCTCCTTGTACCATTAAGACCAAATACTCCCCACATCTGTTTGAACCAAAAGACAACCACAACTTGTAGTTCCTTTTCACTAAATATTTAGCCCAAGTTCCTAGTTCCTTCTCCACCAAAAATCATCGGTCGCATCAAGAAACCATTTGTATTCCTCTTTGTCTAGAAAATCGATTTCCGGACCCTACGCCTGTTTCAGTGATTCGTAGACCATCTGCTTTCTTTCCTTCACAGCATAAGTCGAAGGATT